GGTCCTGAGAGGCTGTGGTTTCTAACAAGTTCCCAGGCGTGCTAATAGTGTGGGTCTGTGAACTATCTGAGTGGCAAGTGCTTTGGAGGCCTCCTGAGGCTTCCTGTCCTCAGGAAACACTAGCGATGAGGCAGGGACCATCACCTTCAATCTTGCAGATGAGAGGGGGAGACCCAGATGTTAAGTGGTTTGCCCAAGACAATTCAGCAAATTAGTGGCACAACGCCAAACAACCTTGCAAACACTTAGCCTGTTTGAGTCACCTGTTCTATATCAGAAGGGACGCCAGCAGGCCTTGAGTATGTCTGTGTGGCAAAAAAAAAAATCAAACCTCTAATCTTTGCTGACCTTGTACAGTCTTTATATTGCTTGCCATAATACCAGATGCTTTGTGGTATTTTCATCAGAAAGAAGACTCAGAGTATCTAATGGTAAGACCAGAAACCTGACATTTTATTCCTTGCCAGAGCTGGACAGGGTGCATGGCAGATAGACAAAATACCGGATGGCCAGCTGAACTTCAATTTCACATAAAGAGCAATTTTCCAGTATAATTATGTTCTATGCATAATTCGAGATACACTTACAGTAAAAAAAGTATTTGTTGTTTTATATAAAATTCAAATTTAACTGGTGATCTTAGACTTTTTTCCCCTAAGTCTGATAACCCTAACAGGGTTGCAAGTGGGAACAAGGAGACTAGGGATTTGGTAACAAGGAACATTTCCTGCTTCACTGCTGTTGACCTTAAAGAAAACCGCAAGGATGCTGGCGTGGCAGGCACTCCACCAGGATGCACAAGTTATTACTGCAACCTCTGTGCCCACCTCCTCTTTAAGCTCATTTCCCTGAACGGAGCTTCATCTTCCTAACTGACCTATAATGTGACAAAACCCTACATTTATAGCTGGTGTTATGAGCTGAGTCGTGTCTCCCAAAATTCATACACTGTCGAAGTCCTACCCTTGCACCTCCAGAATGTGACCTGATTTGGAAACAGGGTTGTTGAAGACGTCATCAGCTGAGATGAGGTCATAGTGGAGCAGAATGGACCCCTGATCCAATATGACTGATGTCCTTGTCTGAGGGGGACATCTGGACACAGAGACTGACATGCACGCAGAGTGAAGGCCATGGGAAGACTGGCCTTGTGCTGCCACAAACCAAGGAACGAACGACCAGGAGCTGGGAGAGAGGCCGAACAGACCCTTGCCTAAAGCCTTCAGAGGGAGCATGGCTTTGCTGGCTTTGATCTTGGACTTCCATCCTCAAGAGCTGTGAGACAATCAATTTCTGTTATTTCAGCCGCTCGGTCTGTGGTATTCAATACTTTGGTTACTGCAGCCCTGTAAACAAATGCTGAGAGCTGGGCAGAAGACAGCAGAGAAGAAGAGGGAACAAAACAAAACAAGCAGGAGAACTCATCAACATTACCACTAGCTGTTTTCCATAGAACCTGAAACCTTAGCCAAGGAAGACACAGCAATTTAGAAATGGTGAGCCACTACATATGAAAACACTCAGTGCTCTACTGAAATTCAAATTTTAAACATCAAGGTGAACAAGTTACACACTACATAAAGAAGAAACCTCAGAAATCAGAATTTGCCTGTGTCATACAAAATGGATACATTCCCAAGCATCTCCAGCCTTAAAGAGGCTTGCAGGGAGGGTTTAAAATTCGCAACCTCAACAGACCAGTTAGTGTGAACAGGCTTTTTCCCATGAGAAGTCTGCTTTCCTTCAGTCCTTACAAACCAAGCATTACTGGATCAGTGACTAAAGAGCTCAAAACAAAATTAGGCAGGCTATTCTAATTTCATTGTCTCTCTTGATTATTTGCTTGTCATATTTCAAATAGCCCCAAATGGCAAGATTTAAACAAAAGATAGGCTATTTAACGATACTTTAGCCTCGCTTTCCAAAGTAACTAAAACCACCACAATTCAGTATACATTTTAATGGACCTTCACCTTTACCCAGAACTTGCTCTGGCCAGGGGCAGAATTCAATCGCCCCACAACAGGAAAATGCCAAACCTAGCTGCCTCCAGTCCTGTTGGCCTTCATTTACTGCACGTGCCAAAGTGTTTCTCTCTCGAGGACTCTGGACATGCTGAACCCTCTGCCTGGAATGTACTTTCTTCTCCACAGAACCCCCTCCCTATAAACACAACTTCCTACACATATGCAGCTTAATGGCACTTTCTCAGAAACTTCTTCGATCATCACCCTTATCACGTAAGGTTCATTTTTCCTTATCACATAAACTTGCACATTTCTTTCACCACAACTATTGCAACTATAATTATTTATTGTTTGCTTGCTTATTAGCCATCCCTCCCTAATCAAATGGTAAGCTCCATGAGTCAGAGATCAGACGGGTTTCATAAATTACACCCAGGGCCTGGTGCAAGGGAGCACACAAATATTTGCCTGGCTTGATCAATTAATTAACTATTTAAAACAAACTGAAGGCATGATGTAATTAATACTGACACACCCCCAAAACACAGTGGGATGCTCTTTATGCTCAGAGGCTCTGAGGTCAACCCTGGAGCATAAAGTCTATGCATCTCATCCTGGCTGTGAACCAAAAGGTTGCTGGTTCGATTCCTAGTCAAGACACATGCCTGGGTTGCAGGCCAGATCCCCAGCTGAAGGCAGGCAAGAGGGAAGATAGTGATGTATTTCTCATGTTTCTCTCCCTCTCTCTGTAAGTAAAATTTAAGTATTTTTTTTTAAAAGATATCACTTGTCCTCTAATTTCTCTGAGAAAGTCTACACTTCTCATCCTGGCTGTGAAAGGGATGTTTTTAAGATATCACTTGTCTACAAATTTCTCTGAGCAACCCCCCTGATCATGCTCTGGCTTTACAAACAATCCCTCCCCATAACAAAGGCATGCTGTCCGTGGGAGCACACACCTGCTGTGGCCCCAGGGCAACACTTTCTCACAGTAAGTTAACAAAGCCCTGCTGGGTCGTGGTCTGGCATCCTATATAAATTGTCTTTAGGGAGAAATGTAATGAAAATACAAGTACAACATCTGACAGCTAAGTATCTCTCTATAAATCAGTGAACTGGCATTCATTCTAACATTAAAAAAGAAAAGCTTATATATTTTGTTATATATCTATGTTTACAAAAAATTAGGATTTATGAATTCTAAAAATTAGATGGCAGAGGGTATTTTGGCAATACATATATAAAACCTTTAAAATTTACCTACTACTTGACCCAGAAACTCCAGAAACAGGAATTTATCCTAAGAAAATAATTATTAATACATTCAAAAATGTAGTCACAAGAATGTTTACTGCAGTACTATTTACAATAAAAACTGGAAACCTAAATATCCAATAACATGAGATAAAATAAGTAACTTGTGGTAATCCCCATTAGGAAATGCTCTATAACTATTCAAAATGTCTTACTGGATGGAATGACAATGACTGACACAGAAGAAAGGCTCACTGTACACTAACAGTAAAAGAAGTAGGGCAAGATCCCATATTCCAAAATGATAACCATAGTTTTTGCTAGACGGAGGGGTCATTTATGATTTTTATCTTCTTATGTTTATCTGCATTTTATAAGTTTCCTTGGAAAGACATGCAACACCTATGTAAATGTATTTTGAAAAGAAGTTATTTAAAATTAAGCAGCCAGGAAAGGACAAATACTATATGGTTCAACTTATATGAGGTACCTAGAACAGTCAAGTTCATGGAGACAGAAAGCAGAACAGCAGCTGCCGGGGCCGGGGCGGGAAAGGAGTGGTGAGGAAGGACTGAACAGCCGCAGCGCTGCGGTGTGGCCAGGTGAGGAGTTCTAAAAATGGATGGCAGCGGCGGCTGCACAGTAATGTGAATGCAGGTAATGTCACCGACCATACACCAAAAAAATGGTAAAGATAGTAAATCTGACACTATCTGTATTTTACCACAATTTAAAAAACTTACAGATTTTAAATGAGTAAATCATAAGCTGAGCTAGGTTTAGAGGTGTCTCTGTTACTAACATTTCCAAGAGCCAAGAAGACGACTTTGGCCCTGGCTGGTGTAGCTCAGTGGATTGAGCACGGGCTTGCAAACCAAAGTGTCACAGGTTCGATTCCCAGCCAGGGTACATTCCTGGGTTGCAGGCCATAACCCCCGGCAACCGCACATTGCTTCTCTCTCTCTCTCTCTCTCTCTCTCTCTCTCTCTCTCTCTTTGTCCCTCCCTCTCTCCCTCCCTCCCTTCCCTCTCCAAAAATAAATTAATAAAATCTTAAAAAAAAAAAAAGAAGACGACTTTGTGGACCACACAGCCCTGAGCAAGACAGCCCGCTATGCCCACCAGGGCTGGAGTGTGCCTTGGGATGGGCAGGCATCGCCTGGTCTCCTGTCTCCTGGTGCTGGCCACAGCGTTTCCTGTCTCTTCTCACACGAGCATGAGTTTCGTCCTGTCTAGCCAGCATGCCTTAGTCGGTTCTCCTGAGAAGGAACTGATTTTGCTGCCCCAGAAGCAGGGCTTCTCCCAGAGCCAGGCCATAGGGACTGCAGGGGCCAGGCAAGCCCAGAAAAGATTTGAAGCCACATCCTCCATGGGCCATGGGTTAAGAGATTTGCCCCCCAAAAGTCCTTTATCTAGTCATCGGTGGAGCCCAGCAAAGAAAGGAATCTCACCTCAAACTCACCTCTCTACTACAGAACAAAAAGGAGAAAATTAGATTCAGCTAACAAAAATCCTTTCTTTATTCATCAAGAGGGTACTCAGGGCTTTGCAAGGAAAAGAGGAACATGCCTGGTTCCTGGCGGTGTGCCCCGAGAACCCAGGCTGCAGAGCCGTGGCTGGGGCTGAATGTGGCCCGCATCTGTATCTTAATAGGGGGAGGAGGCTGGGTGCTGAGTTTAAAAATCTAAAAAGATCATATAAGTACACAGGAAAAGGAAGTTTTGCAAATCCTTCAGAGTTAACAGGACCAGGGAAAGATAGAGACTAGTGTTCCGCTTACCTGCTGTAGGCACACTAACGTTATACTGAGGTAAAATAAATAGGAAGGCAGTCTTGGCAGTGACCTGTAAAATAAAGAAAAATAGTTTCAATTTAGCCTCTTGGTGACATCGAAAAAATGGAGCAGAACCTACCACCAGCCCCCAGGGCCCACCCCTTTTACCTCTCAGACCACAGGCCCCTCCAGTGAAGTGTTTTACCTAAAGCACAGTCAGCACTGGCTCTGTTCTCTTCCATGTAATGGCATCCCTCCCATTACCTGTACCAAAAGCTAACAAAGCAATCCTGGGCCCTGCATGGGATCTGCACTTGTACTCACTGCAGATGGAATGAAATAAGCTGTGCTTGGCCAGCTGAGAGCTCACAGATAAGGGTACATGTTTGTCTGTCGTTCATTCAATTAGTTTAGTTACCCAGCATTACAGAAGGCAGAAACTAGTAGAAGATGAGGTGCTGGCCTTCTGGAAGCCCAGGGCCTCACTGAGGATTCCCCAAGCATATTGGTTAACTACACGGTGGACAGCAGCCCCAAAGGTGTCAGCCTGAGCCTCAGAGATGGAGAATTCCAGCTGCTAATTTCACATCTACCCTACCGTGGGGCATGGGACAAGGCATAACACCGCACACTTCTCGTTTATTTATTTCAAAAGCTTCCTTTAAAATCTTAGTTGTGCTGTGGTTGCCACCTGGCAAATCAGTACTCTGGCAGTTTAGCCAGCAAGGGAGATATGACAAAATGTCAGATTTCAAAATTGGACTCAAGAACTGGCTGCCTGGGCTCCAACCTGCCCCTGCCACTTGCTGGCTCCGCAGCCCTGAGCAAGCCATCTGACTCCTGAGCCTCACTTTCCCAGTCTGTAAGATCGAGGACATCTGCAGTACCCCGGCTGGTCTGGGTGACGCTGTCTAAAGCTGCCCAGATGTTTCCGATGTGCAGCTGGGGCAGAGAGCACCACCCGCACTGCTCCGGAGCATGTGGGAGGTCAGGGCAAGAGGCCAGACCCAGGCCTTTTCCAGGAAGCCTCTAGAGACAGCTCATCAATAAAGAGTTACTGCTTCTCCTCTAAACAAAAATATTTAAATGAGTTGCTGTGGGTGTGGGGAAAGGTACTGGGAGTGGCAAAAAGCAGCATGGAAAGCAGGGATGACACATTACAGTCCTCTGCATGCGTCCATGCCTGCCGTTCCCAGAGACAGGTTACTGTCCTCAGCCTTCTCTGCCCAGAGGAGGGCAAACACTCTCCCCATCAGCCCGACCCGTTCCTCTCCAGGGGTGTCGTTTGCTCTTTGTGCGCAGCGAGGCACGAGCCTCCTCGTGCGAGCTATTGTCTCAGACGTGTTCTGTCACCTGGGAGGGAACCGTCAGACAACGAGGTATGCGAAGGCACTCGGGCGAACACAAGGCCCTCTCCAAACACACAGGCGCTTCCTACGCCCACCCAAAACCTGATCCCCGTTGTCCCAAGACCTTTTCCAGGAGCTACTGACCTCCCTTCCAGTCCAACTGCCTCTATTTCTTTACAACAGATGTATGTATGCTATTTCAGCAAAAATGTGCTACTCACTTCTTTCTTTGGGGGTGTTTTAGTTCCCCTCACCTTGTATTCTACAACTCTCAAAAAACGCTACTGAACAGAATCTCACTCATCCTTCACAACCCAGCTTGACTAGAGCCCCTCGAAGGCTTCCCCACCTGCCGACAGGGTGTGATGTGTTCTTCCTCAGCAAGTGCTCTGCAGCACCTCCCACCACGCCACCATGTCTACCTGCTCTCTTGCAGTGCTCCTCAGGTGGCACTGCAGAGGGCGGGGCTCTGCCGGCTCATCTGTCCTCAAACCCTTCCCAGGTAACTAACCATGTGCACACAGGACGTGCTCAGTAACTGCTCACTGAAGAGGATGAAAAACAGAGTCTGTGCTGGCTTACTGTCACTCCAGCTGGGCTTGGTCATCTGTCACCACAATCTTCTCCTTGAGAGCAATCTAGCTGCTACACCACCTGAACCTCACCATCACCACCACCCCCACCATGGCGGTCCCTCCCAGCCTGCACGTGGCTCCAGTTGGCCACCCTTGACCTGACCACCTGTCCACACTGGCTGCCACGACTCCTGTGAGAGTAAACCCTACAATTCCACGTGTGGACAGCTGGTATTCCACCCTGACTGCACATGTGAATCCCTGGGTGACCATTTCCGATGTCAACGCCTGGGACACCCCCAGCCAACAAAGTCTCCGGGTTGGGGCACCAGCATGTTGGTGAGCCCCTCAGAGTGCTGTGACATGCAGCCATGTGTGGTAGCCACACACGCAGAGCTGGTCCCTCGACATCCCCTCAAAGTGGCCTCTCTGCCCGTCTCTGTCTCAGAAACTTTTCTGTGTCCTGCATAAAATTCATTCATGTTTCAAGTAAATGTTTATTTCAACCTCAAAAAACACCCTTTTAAAAAGTGAAACAATTCAGAAATAGGTAGAGAAAAAGCCTAACACCCACGCTACATTCTTAGTTCTCTCCCTTCTCCCGCGTCTCCCGCCCCATGTGTGGGGCCAGCTCTGCGCACTCTTCCTGTGCATTTACCCATTTGCGATTTACGTCTTTTGTTTTATTTTGACATCACAACTTGAACTGTGACTACACAACTTCATCCAAGGGATTAAAGACTGAAAAAAAATTTCAAAGCGATACAACTTATTAAATTACATTTAAGTCACTTTTTTAGCTCTGTGAGTCAAATGGCTGTTGCAGCATCATGGAGGCCCAGGGACAACAAGTCCCCTCAGTGTATTCCAACTAGTTACATGGGAAATGTGCAGGCCCACCTTTTGTTTGCTGAGGCCAACATATAACTAGGTGGCTGTATGACACAATCTCCCTCGTACATACTAGTGCCTTCCATGAACACTTCCCACAGGGCTACCCCTAAAGCTTCATATTGAAGAGCTCACCCAAACAAAACCGGTTCTCCGTGGGAGTGCATATACAAGTACTGAGTTCACCACTCTAACTGCTGAAAGAGTCATCGCAGTTGTCTTTTGTTTTTTGTCTTAAGTAAGTCAGACATTTGTCACACGGGCTGCACACACAGTCTTGCCCCAGTGCAGTGCAGTCAGCCCATTGTGTTCGCAGGAGCTCGGAGCTGCAGAGTCGCCGTGAACACTGAACCAGCGAATACTGAACTGCTGCTCTCGGGGGAACAGCAGGGTTTCTGCAAGTCTCTGGTCACACCACTTCTGTCAATGGATCAATACATAACCGAGTTTCATTTTAAGATGCTGTAGTTAATACCAACTGTCGAAGCACAAACACGGAGCTCAGGGCCTGCAGTGCTGTACTGCGTGTCTGAAGGGCGCTCACCTGACACACACACGCTCTCTGTGCGGAGCGTCCCAGCCCCGTGCTCAGGGACATGAGAGAGTGCTACAGCACCACGCTGTGAGGGCCACTGTAAACAGCAACACCACCGACAAAAAGCACAACGCAAAAACAGTGGCACTAAACAGACTGCAGAAAGGACACTCGCTTACAGCAGAGCTGAGCGGCACCCTGTTGGACCTCAGCCGGGAATGTGCTCATCAGGTTACTCTATTTTTTCACTCTGCGGGTGCCCATGTGTGGCTGCAGCATCACTGGGCATGCTGATTTGGGGTTGCAAGGACATCAGTGAGTACGCGCACAGACATACGACTGTGGAGAAAGTACCAACTACACTGGGGTCAGCTCCAGCAGGCCAAAAGTTTGTCCTTTTTAACAGCTTCACTGAGGTGTAATTCACACACCATAAAATTCACGCATTGTAAGTACGCAGCTTTCTGGGGTTTATCTTTACTTGTTTTTGAACGCTCCCTTCACTAGAACAGAAGCTCTAGGAGCAGGAATCTTACCTGCCTTGATTATCTCCAATCCATGGCCAGCACCCAGCAAGCATTTGTTAAACCGAGGCTGCGACCAAGGAGCAGAGCCAGGACTGCGCTCCATCACCTGACTGACCGCAGCCTGCCCTCTGCCCATGCTTGCACTCCTGAGCAACTCTCCTCTTTCCCGGGTTCAAGCCTGTGCTGAGCACGTAGTAGGTATCTCAACAATATGTATTTGATGAACTAACACTGCAAGCAGCTATAGTACTTAGTAACCATAGATGAATGGTTAATAAATGTTTTCTCAACATGATTCTGAGATAAAAGGATATAGGACTTTGATTAAGGCAAAACCTTAGAGTCCAGTATTTTTCCAGCCCTAGCCCCCAGCAGTAGCAGCAGAAACCATTCTGAATCATACATTTTCCTTTGTGGGCAGCCATGCCTGCTCCCACTCTACCATGTCTCAGGGCAAGGTGCCCTCCGTTTCCCTGTTCCACAGATGAAGAGGCTAAACGAGAGGCAAACTGGCCAATCGAGACCTCACAACCTTACAAGCAGAAAACAACATTCAATTTGATTTTTTAAGTTTGTTCCACATACAAATGTAGGATGCATAAAATATGGCCCATAGAATAGAACTGCAAATAAAAGAGAGGCAGGATAGGATATATATATATATGTATATATATGTATATATATATAATCTCAAAGAGAAGTAGGGGATGAGGCTGATCCATGAAAATGCATTACCAAAAGTCCTACTAATTAGCTAAAGGTGGCCAGAAATTTGACTCTGAGCTTTCTTCGAAACCATGTGAAGGAAGGAGTGATCAGCTCCTAGATTCACTATGTCCATGAATTAAAAAAACAAAAAGACTATCCAAAAAAGCAACTCTACTTGTCCAGCATAAAAACCATTCTCTGTGCTTCAAAAGGCCCTTTGCACCCCCAAAATTCACTCCATAACCCTCTCCCTACCTCAGACCAGGGAGAAAGCACCAAACAAGCTCCACTCTGCAAGCACAGAAGGCTGAGAAACAGGAGCCTATTAAAAATGTCATTCCAATTATTTCCCACCCCTCTAAGGGTGTTTATAGGAAACATGATTGAATTTAATAGCATTTTAAATGCCAGGCTCTGTGGGTGAAAGGTTAAAAGTGACAATGTGCTAATACACTAATGCAAAGGGAGAACACTAAATTATGTAG